AAATAGCTAGGGCCTAGCTGTATATTCTACAGCTATATGGAACAATAGGCTAATCACTAGTTATAGTTTATGCAACATATTTATAAGTAATATAATGTATAATATAATTCATATTGTTTTTGATCAATAGGCCCGTGTGCCTGACGACTGTCAAAACGGTTCATAAACTATAACCGATGATTTTTGTTACATAAAGCTTTAGAATATAGTGAAGTTAGTATAAAGGACTGAACTCCATCTTTGCCGAAGAAATTTAGTCATCATGAAAATTGCTCAAAGCAAGATGTGCACTATAAATCGTTATCAACAGAAACAGGCCCGTAACCAGACCAATGTGCCAAGAGGGGCGAATGCAACTTGTTTGAATTTTGCAGTGGAGGGGGGGGCGAAAATAATTCAAGGGAGGCGCCGCCCCACCCCACTCCCCACCTCTGTCTCTTTTACTTGTGGGCCTGAACAGAAAAAGGCTCATTATTCAGTTTCAATCAGCACAATTTATTATATGTCATGAAGGCATGAAAGTTATATCACACCACTCAATAATCATCATTTCAGCTTTGAAACCATTTTGCTTCAGCTGGCGGCTGTTGTCCTGGCGATCTGTTTCTCTTTGACTGTCGTCGAAGTGATTCTGGAAGAGAAACCAAAATTTACACACGTGACTGGCCCAAAAGACTTAGTGTTCACATTATAGTCTAGACCCACAGTCTACATTGCCCTTCCATATTTTTCTGCGAATGTCAATAATGAAATAACATAAACAATGGTGGCGTTTCGTTTGATCTCTAAAGGGGGTGGAGTAATACTGATAGGCATTTAGGAAATCAATGATATTGATAGGGAGAAGGGTGGTGGTGGAGGGGTTTTGAGTTGAAAATCAGGACCAGCACAAATATTAGAATTAGGAGCCATGGCCCCTTGCCTCACCGTACAAGCACCAATATGGCGCACACCTTTAAATTATACTGTTTGTTTTGGTGATTGGAAGTAAATAATACTAAATACTAAATAAGTAAATAGTCTTAGAATTTCACATTTAAAGAAAAACATAAATCGATCGATTAAGTGTAGGCCTATCAGAAATGTTGTTGACACTGACAGTGTCTCAGAAGCCATAGTGCATGCTCCTCGTCTAGGCCTAGGCTTAGATAGCCAGTGCGTGGAAAGAAACCCTCTCACAAAGTTTCCATATCTATTATATCCAGTTTTTAGACCTGAACATAACACAATTTGCAAAACCCCTGAAATTATCGAATGTACTTACGTCGCATAGAAAAGAGTTGTCGTGGGGAGTCCAGTCGGATCGTTTGACCTTTACTTCCCATTCTCTGCGTCTCCTTTTATCCTTAGGGAACCTGTGCATCACTATACCTTCTCCTGATTCGACAGAGCATTTCTATGCCACACATCGAGGCATTCTGTTGCCAGACAAGACCAGGAATTAGGCTTAAACAACGTAAAGAATACCCAGGCTCCTACGCCTAAACGTCGCGGGAAGGGTAACAATATGGCGGCCTTCAATCACGTGACCACTCTGCGCCAATCATAGTTCAGCGCGGCGAGATCACAAGTTGGCCAGACTCTCTCTATATACGGCTCTGTATAATGCGATAAAAATTGTAGCAAATGTAACAAATAGACATTAACGAATGACTAAAGAACAGAATCTCTATATAAGACAAAATATCCAAATTAAATAATTATTAAAACACGCTTCTAAACATGGTTAAATATTATCCTACTTATTGTATTCTTTGTCTTATGGATATATTACCTTTAAGGCTGTGTTTGATAAATACTTTAGAATCAACTGATTTACCTATATATAGTAAAAGCTAGAAAATGTCTGATCAAGAAGTTGTTGTAAGATCATGTTGTGGTCCGTGTTCCAAATGAACCACAATGAGACACGATGAGGGAGACTGTATTCTAAACCCCCTCCTTGTTTACTGATGCTAAAATGTTAAAACTTTACAGAGCTCGTTTAAGAAGTATTCGTTCATTCATTCATTTTATACGATATTATTATAAACAAGTCTAGATACTTATATTCTTATAAGCTTAGAGACAGACTTCACAATGTTCCTGAAAATTCCAATGTTTCTTGCAGTCTGTTAATTGGTTGGATTTGTCGAATATGGGTGTCAGAAAGACAGGTTATCCTATTAGTAAAGTAAATTCATTTCAATAGAGATATTTATTTACAAAAACACTTTATACATTTACATTTCTTTATTCTAGTAAATTGACTTAATTAAGTCAAGAGACATTTATTATATTACATATCATATATATTTATATTTACAATATAATACATGTCTCATGTCAGTGATGTTTTCAGATAAATATTACTAGATAGTCAATTTATGATTAAAATTATATTTGATCTAAATTTACACTGTCCTTATCCAATGTATGAAATATTTACAATTTATCAAATATAGACAATGTTTCAGATATTTACAAATTATCAGATATTTACAACAAACCAAGTACTAACGATCCGAACCGCAAAACGAAACCCGAAATCCATATCAACCTTTTTGGCGAAACATTGGTAGCAGCTAATGAACTTTTCAAATGAGGAAGTATATCAATCATAAGTGAGGAAGTATTTCATAATGAAAAGTGATATCAGGTGTCTAGAAGAGTAAGCATACCCTGTCTGGCGAAATTATCAGAAATTTACAAATTATCAGCTATTTACATATTACCAGATAATATTTACAAATTATCAGATATTTACAAATTATCAGATATTTACAAATTATTAGATATTTACAAATTATCATATATTTACAAATTATCAGATATTTACAAATTATCAGATATTTACATATTATCAGATACTTACAATCCTGAGATAAGATAAAATAATTTCAAATTATCAGCAGATATTTACAATATATCAAGTATTTATAATGTTTTCAGTATCTATAATGTATCAAGTATTTACAATGTTTTCAGTATCTATAATGTATCAAGTATTTACAATAGTTCCAGTATCTATAATGTATCAAGTATTTCCATTATTTCTGGTAGAGTCGGTCTATCAATCGCTTGAATTTGTGTACAAGAATTATATAATGGAAATAATTGATATACATTAGCACGTTTTATGATTTGTTTAAATAAAAAACCAAGACTATAAATATCTGATTGAGGTGTAGAGAAACATCCTTCTCTCACTTCCGGTGCATAGAATAGACACTCTCCTAGACTTCCCGAACAGCCTTCAAATCGCATACCTTTCCTGAATGTTGCCATGCCAAAATCAATAAATCGAATGTCCAAAGTATTTAAGTCAACTAAAATATTATCTGATTTTAAATCATTGAATAGAATATGATTACAATGAATTTGGAATAAACTTTTACAAATATTTTTACAAATAATAATCCAAGCATCTGGTGGCAAATCATATTCCAGATAAATATCTTCTACATTACCATGACCGTAATATTCTTGAACTAGACTGTAATTTCTAGACTTTTTACGTGGTGTTAAAACACCAAGAAAATTGGGTGTTATATCTTGTCCTTTAAGGTATGATAATATCTGAGCTTCTAGTTCGACATCTTCCCAGCTTACACCATGATGATGAAATTCTTTGATGACAACTTTATGTTTTATGTTTTTCATACTGGCAAGATATACTACACCAAAACTTCCTCTTCCTATTTCATTATATGAATTATCATCATTTATTTCATATCTTATATCGCTTCTTTTAATATCCTGAAGTACTATACTGTTTAAAGTTTCTGGTAAGTGACCTATATCAATGTATCCACAAGGAACAAATGGAGAATTCCGCGGATCGAATCCAAACATAGATAACATAGTAGAATTATCTAGGGAAAAATGACCAAAACTGTTTATAGTAACTAAGTTCCGAATATCAAACTCTTTTTCAAAACTACTATAGTCTTCATTGTTAATTGTGTCGTGTTCACACGAACTAGTATCGTTGTTACTGGAGTTAGCATAGTGAACATCAACGCTGGTATGATGAGATGAAATGATATCCTGATTTTGCTGTAATGAAATACTGTGTTCATTTGCATCAGTTGGTGATAAAAATTGTTGATTTGAGCTGGAATCGTAATCAGAATCAATCGAATAGTAGTGTGCATATG